TATAAAATATGTATATATATATTATAATTTTCATAATCAGTTTTGTGGGTCAAGTAGTAGATTGTTAATTTTAGCAATTAAAGTGGATGTCCCTCTAACTTAATATTTTATTTTTCTCATCCATTTATAACGGTTGATGCCAATTTAAAGGATACCTAAAACAATAAATAACTGCTATAAAAGAAAAAGTACCTTGATGGAGTGAGTAACCTTAAAATAAATTATAAAATTATGTATTTTATGATAATTAAAGTAAAATAATAGAAATGGTTATTAACACATTCAATTACTTTGAATGTGTTTTGACATATACTCTCATCTATAAAAAAGCATAAATTATCATTTCAATGAGTTTTCCATCAACTAAAGTTTCAGAATTTTTGTGCATGATAGTTAGATATAGAGAAGAAGTGAGTTAGATTGTAAAACCCAATATTTATTTATTTTTACTTATATATATATAATTATTTGTTAATTAAATTTAATTTAGTTTATTTTATTTTATTTTATTTTAATTTAATGAAAATAATAATAATAATAATAATAGAAAGGGTAAAAATTAGTTGAGGATTTAATTGAAAATAATTTTGGGAAAAATGGGTGGAAATTTGGATTATGAGGGTATTTTTAAAAGAAAAATCGGAAACAGGTCAAAACACAATTTAAAAAAATTTTGCCACGTCAGATGCCCGGTCAGCAGCCCTGACCAACCAAGACGCACTAGGTGGCAGAGGCGCTAACGCGAGAGGCCACACGAGGGGGAGCCACGTGGGCGATCCGCGTGTGCGCGATCGAACAGTTGAGATCCATTCCCGCGCACACGGATAGCCTAGATTGAAAATGCGCACGGATGGCCCAGATTGAATCACGCACGGACGGCCTAATTTGAATCGCGATGAACGGTCCAGATTCACTCCCTATTTAATCGCGATCGGATGATCCAGATCAAAAGCGATGGACGACCCAGATCAAAAGCAGATGGGTATAAATAACCCCCATCCGCACCCAAACTCTAACCCTAGCTGCCAAAGCCCCTCGTCGGAGAAGACAACCCAGTCGCCGGGGAGCCGACCACCGCCACCCACCGCCGCCCCCGAGTAATTTCCAACCGTTAAACGAGGTAAAAAAATTTTCTCTTGCACAAAATTCAATTTTAAACCCACCCATGGCCAAATGAAAGTGAAAGAACTGGCCAATTGACCGAAAAATACCGCCGAAGCTCGGCGCCGCCGCCGCGGGGTGTTTCAAAAAATGCCTCTGATGAGGCCCTTCCCGATTCCTGTTCGATGTGTTTTTTCTATCGTTGTAATCACTATTTCCTTCTCTACATGTTGACCAGAGCAAACCACTCATCCGCAACGTGAGCCAGAGGAGCCACCGCACCAGATAGCCCCACCATCGGTGAGTTTTGATTTTCTACGTTTTTTCAGCCCACCGAGGGCCCTAAGTGTGTTTTCTCGCAGGAATAGTTACAAATTTAGCTGAATTCGGCCGAAAACTTCCAAAAACAGCTAACCCGAGGCGCCGTCACCAGAGCACGGCGAAGCTGCCGTGCCAGATTTTTGAAATTGACCGAGTAGCCCCTGG